TTTTTTCCCGCTTATATATGGAAGGACATTTGGAGAGTGTTACTTGTATAGGAAGCAGGTAACCTCTTCTTGTAAAAGTCAGTTTACCTAACTGGAAGTGATGTCAAAGTCTATTGTGCTTTTTTCAAGTGTATTTTTAAAAGAGCTGGTTGCCTGGGTCAATGCCTTTTTGAACAGAAGATTAATAAGCATCCACGAAAAAAAATAAATTCAGAGTATATAAGTGAGAAGTTCCTAATGTGTCATCAATGGCAATAGCCAAATTACAGATGATAGTACAAAGAGAACAGAGAACTCCAGGCTCACTTGTGCTCAAATAAGGGTCTCTTCTGCTCACAGCACCTTCCTCAATTTGCTCGTCTTCCCAGAACTACAGCCTGTAAGCATTAGCCTGTCTGAGGACATAATACCTTGCACTTTTTATTAGCAAAGTCAAGTTGCTTGCTGTTAATGTTGTGAGAACTGCATCTTAACTGCACGACACAGATGCTCAGCGCGGAATACTGTGCATTGGTGCTCTGTTAAATGCCATCTTTATTTATGCATGGCGTCTTTTGGTCTTTCTAAAACATTCAGGTTTGACTGCCCAAGCATGGATTTGCAGTTAAGCTGCCAGCAAACTTTTTGTTTGAAAGTTCTGACCTTAAATGCAAAGCACTTTCCTGGTTTTTTTTTCCCTTTCTAATAACCTTTAGGAGTATGAAAACCTTTGTCACTTGTTTTAAATATCCTTATGACAGGCCCTTGTAAGCCTGTATGCATTTATAGTAAATATTACACTGTCTTTGTCACCAGGGAGATTGCAGCTATGAACTGGAGATTCAGCCTCACTTACGTATGGAAGACGTTAATGTTCAAAGGAATAAAAGTCATCTTTCCATGACCAGCTCCACATTTGATCAGAAAGCCTGCTCATCTAGAAAAGACATGGCACACAGATCAAAAGTAAAGTCATTTTTACCCGATACAAATGATAATGGGAGTGAATTCTTTTCCATGTTTAAAATAACAAAAACAAAGACTCCCAGAAGAACTTCCAGCCTAAATTTGGAAGTGCCTGTGTTGCCTACAGAGAGTAAGACTACGGCTTCTCACTCAGAGAGAAGGCTTGCTCTGGTTGACAATATTGACCAGGGCAGTCAAAAGGATGAGGAACTAGAGGTGACGTTTGACTTAAATGAATTTATTGACCTGTGGGACAACAGTGAAAGTACTGTAATGCATGAAAGTGCAGCAATAAAGGAATCCAAAACTGTAGATAAAGCTTGTAGGTCGCTGGGGACAAACCACGCAGATTCAGGTTATAGTAGCTTCACAGTTGAGAAATCACCTGTGTCTGCTGACTCATTTTATCTTCCTGAATCATACGTGGATTCATTTGCACATGTGAGACTGTCTGAGGAGCCTTCTTGGTTAAAACAAGTATTTTCCAGTGTGAAAAGGCTTTTATCACAATCTCCTCCCTCTTCAAATAAAATCTATGATTTTGAAAACATGATAAGAAATGAAGAAAAAACAAGTCCTCTTCAAAAAGCTGTTTCTGGTAGTTATTCAGATAGAATGTGGGACAAAGTCTTTCCTCCATCCTCAGAAGTTGATTGTTCACTGCTGCTCTTTGAAAATCCCAAACTGAAAGTCACCAGTGAATTGTGTGCTTCTGAAAGTACCTGTTTTTCAAAACCTGCATCATCTTCTGAGACTGCTGCTGTTACAGCCGGAGAGGAGCTTCACTGGATTGACAGCTTTGATGGTCTGTTTGACAATGAAGAATTCACTGAAATTCAAAAGAAAACTCCAACAATAAGTCACACTCTGACAAATAAGCCTTCAAATAAGTATTTTGTTCAAAAAGATGAAGAAGATCTTGAAATGAACAAGAAAAACGTGACTCTTGATGAAGAGATTATACGATTATTTGAAGATGACCACATTAATGACACAAATAGTGGAAGTTTTTCTACGAACAAGTGTTTAGTCAAGTCGGATTCAGGTGGGAGTGTTGTCAGGCCGGTTGCAGAGCGAGACTCCGAGATGCGCTGCGTGAGCGCTGGCCAGACCTGCAGGGAGCAGCCAATAAGCGGCAAAACCACAACCCTGGACATGTCTGGTGGTATTAGCGTGACCGAGCAGTTCCTGGGTAACGATGATCTTTATGACTGTTCTCAAGAACTGTTTTCTGTTAACTTTGATCTGGGATTTTCCATTGAAGAGTGGGAGAATGAAATCTTTGAAGAAGCTACAAATACTAATAATTCCAGAAAATTAAATTGTGCCTCAGGCAGGCATGCAGATGGTAAATCCACCGAAGAGAAAAAAAAATCACCAAATAGCTCCAGACTTGAAACATCGCCAAAATGGGATTGCAAAAGTCTTGAGAGAAGAGACATTTCCACACCATTGCCGTTCCAGAGTAGGAGTATGAAGGATAGAGAAGGGACTGAGGACGCTACTGCTGCGGTGCCTTTCTTGGAGCCAGGAGACAGAAGAACGGGAAGCGGATCGTCTGAAGCTTTGGCTTCTGCACTCTCGACCCCAACAAGTAGAAAAGTTACGAATATTAAAGCTGTCAAAATAATTCCTATGAATGTCTTCTCTAGTGCCAGGGAGGAAATTCCAGAGGCACCTCTTACAGATAAAGTAAATACAAGCCCACATAGGCAGAACTTTGAGAGTTCAGCCATGGATGTGCTTGATTCCCCTTTAGGAAGAACTGAAAACCTGGAAGATGTCAACCTTCACAGTTCACGTGTGTTTCCTGCCGAAGGTAGGGATTTCAGTGGTACAGTTAGTTAATACCTTCATGTTTAAATAAATAATGTAGAATCCAGTATCTTTTGGATCCTCAATTTGGTTTTATGACTTAGGTGGGAAGGATGAAAGGAAAAGGGAATAATGGTTGTACTACTAGAAGCTGGCTCAATGAGGAGACTTTCCAGAATCTTAACCCTGCATATCAGCTCGCCATTTGGGGCTGAAATGCACACATGCGTATTGGAGGAAGTACTTGGAATTAAACCTCTTGTATCTCTTCACAAGTGCTAACAGTGCAACCATGGGAGACGTAACTGTGTGAGCTATAGCTACCTTTAAAGCCCTTTCTTAATCCTCTCAGTATCTGATTCATAATTATCTGGATCTGTTGCACTTCAATCCCTGAATCCATGCCTTTGTATTTTCTTGTCTTTGTTCCTGAGGAATAGAAACTCTACTGATGGATTTCTTTCAGTTTAGTTGCATGACGACTGACTTGTATTTAAAATTTTCTGATTATAACTTCAGCACAAGCCTGGATTGACTTAAAAATATCGCCTGTTTGTAGGCTCTATTCTATTTTTTTGTTTCCTCCCTTCTCTCTCCCCTTCTGTCCTCTGGTTTAGGACCAATATACCATAAAAAAAAATATTTCATATTTGAATATTGCCAATATATAAATGACCATCATTCTTCACTCGTAGGTCACTTACAGGTCATATTCACACCCTTTGTCATGTTTATCTCTGAATAACCGTGAATTACTTTCAAAATAATTCAGGCTTAATAGTACTCTGTCCGATTCATAGGGCCTGTTGAGTTTTTCTGAATGGTTTTGTTACTGCCCTTAAACACTGAAACGAAGCATAAACAGTCCCTTTGGTGGTTAAAGCATCTTTTTTTCCTTCTCTTTTGAGTTTGTCTGGCAGTCATATTTTCTGAAGGTGATTGATTGTGGAAGGCCACCTTTCTTCCTGAATCATCACACCTTCAAACTGATATGTTAGTTTGCTGAATTCAAAAATCGTAGTCTATTTAATAAAACAAACAAACAAAACCCACCCCAAAACCAAAACCACAAAAGGAAACAGATTGCTGGTTTAGAGTTGCAGGATTAATACTGAACCTGGATCAGCTTGTTAAGGCCTTGGTCCGGTCAGGTCTTGAAAACCTCCCCGGACAGCGTGTTGTTGAAATGATAGTTATTGATATTTAAAGATGTTGTTTAGAAGTGGCATGTTTGGGAATTTTGTGCTTTTCCTTAAAGAAATTCAAACCTTTGAGTGATTTAGTCAGAACCAATTCTCCGTCCCAGCCTATGCTGCCATAGTCCCAAAGTAAACAGATTTAAAAATAAGCCAGAATGCCGTAGCTGCAGTTAATGTCGCGCCTGCTTTGGGGTGGGAAGGCTGCTAGGACAGGCAGCACGCCTCCTGCCCCGAGCCCGGGTCTGTGCGGACTGGAGCTCTGCATGCAGAACCTGCAGGAACATCTGCTGCGTAAAGGCAGTCCTTTGTAAAACCAAAAAAGGCTGGACTTGTTTGAAAAGGAATTGGAAAGAGGAGCTTTTAGTGAGTTCTGGTTTTGTTTCAGTGCACCCTAAAGGATATGTGTTACAAACTGTTTCCAGAAGTGTAACTCTTACTTGACTTTTAAGGGCTGCTTCTCTTGGTTTCATTTTTCACCTCCCTTTTTCTGTACCTGGACTGCCTGGGTTAATCACTTCCACGTAGACGCTCTCCAGGGAAGTAGGATTTATCGTACGTCTCAGCTGGAGATTATTTATTTTGATTAACAAGTCTGAAGAGAACAATATTTGCCACATAGATCAATAAGTAATCTCCTTTGTAGGTACTTCTATCAGAGAGACAGATTTGATTGCTCAGTTATAGCAATATTGTAGCGTGAACAGTGCATTTTCTTGTGAATGGTGTTTACTGTGTTTACTGGTTTTTTTTTTCTGTAGGAACCAGCAGTGAGAGTGAAGAAGAGATCGTTTTCCAGAGAAAAAATAGGAAAAAAAAGAATGTTTTGAAGTCTCCTGATGTGAGTTGGGGCGGCGGGGGGGAAGACAAGAGAAGCAAAATGACAAGGAAGTCAAACACCAAAACAAAACTCTTTGCCATTATACTTATTTCTGTTTACATAGGTTACGAACAATAGTGATTTTGAATCACCGATTCGTGCCATCAGAAAACGTCGACACCCACTTAACATGGTTAGTAAGTGCTTTGGTGGGACACAAGAAAAATAATGCAAACTCATTTATGGAGTATATATTTAAACATTTACTCTTTCTCCAGTCAGTAGGCAAGTGTTCTTATTAAAAATACGTTATGCCATCTGACCTAAGGCATATTAGATGAAGTCGCTTTCCTTCCTTCAGTTCTTTCCTGAGGTCTGCAAAGATGCCTTTGCAGTTGCTGTTTGGCAGAGAATTCTTGTTATAGGCAGGAGAGCTGAGCCTCGCCCTTTGTGAAAGGAGGTAAAATAACCATTCTTCCCCAAAGCTTTGAATGAAAAAAGTGTTTATGTCACATTTGACCTGATTTTTCTTCCAAATAACATGTTTTTCTGTTCCTTTTGTATTTGATGATTAGCATTACGGCATTATTTTGCCATAGCGAATCAATCACAAAAAATCAGGTGTTGCTTAAAAAAAACATGTTGAAGGATGGCTGTGTCATTAAAGTATTCCTTGCTTTAGTCTTATTTATTGAAGTGCTTGTGAAATGTTCCTTTAGTCAGACGTGTCCAGTGATGACAGCATGGATTTTCACAAGAACTCAAGTAGGACCACAAACGGCAGCTCGGCAGCCTGCAACAAAAAACAGCCAAGAAGCACGAAACGGCAAAAGGTCAAGAGCAATTTTACATACAAGGTACGTGACATTACATGCCTCTCTCAATACGTTGAAGGTCGTATTTGGAGCAGTTTGCGTTGAAGTTGCAATGCAGATAAAGGCTGTGCTTTGTCACAGGAGTGTGTATGTATGTAAGTGCACATTTGCAACATTGCAAAACCTAGTTCAGAAGAATGCTTCTTTGACCGTAAGCAGCACGTTACCAAATAAAAACAAAAAAAGAGACAGGAGACTTAGTGAGATTCTACTTTCTGTTCAAACTGCAAGAATGAACTGCAAATATTTTCTAATTTGTCTATATTTAAATCTAAAAAAAAAAAGAAAATGCCAGAGATGTTGAGCGCTGGTTTCACATACTTAAGAAAACTTACTGTCATTGAGTCACTCATTTTGGAGCTTGCGTGCATTTTATGGACTAAAACATGGAGCTTCTGCTATTTTATGGCCTTTGTAGGATCTCATGATACAACTGTATTATGGTAGGATGCAGTTGGGCAATTGTTTGTTCTTAAGACATTGTTTAGGAGGGTTGAGGCTCATAGCTATTTCGCACAAGTTTGTTGCAAACATTTGAGATGAAATCTTGAAACACTGGATAATGAACTTAACCCTCACATCCATTGCCTGACTTTCGGAGGAATCTGCAGCGCCCTGAGTAATAATGTTCTGAAGTAAAATAACAATTTACATTAGAAGATACTCAAAGATTAGTCACACTCGGGAAGCTCAGGTACTTGTCCAGAACTTACACTATTAGGATATTTGATCATATGAATTTACCAGCTGTTCTGGTGGTTTCAGCTTTGAACATCTTAAGACAGGAATGGTCCCTCAACCCCAAAGCTTAAATCTTAATTTAGTATTTTACACTTTATCCTGTCACTGCATCAGGAATGGATGCAGGAGGGGATGCAGGGCCAGAATCAGATATTCATAGTAAGTTGAAAAGCTCTTGAATACGCATGGATGTGGTTCCATTAAGCAGAAGTTACTGTAATCAGGACACCGGGGCACATTATGTTGGATTATTTTTAATGTTTTAAAAATAATCTTCGTTATGGAGGCTTCCCTATAGTATCAGTATTTTGTGTTCTGGAATACAAAGAATTAGGCAGATGAAAAATCTGGTTTTCAATTTTATTTAAACCTTTTTTTATGTGAGATCAAAAGGCTCATGGAAAGAGAGTGTGTTACCTGTATATTTAGGAAATTCTGCTCTGCCTTCACATATCATCTTACCTAAAGATTCGTAGTGATGAACATGTCAGAATTCTAGATCCACAGAGGATCCAAGACACCAAAATCATTCTGATCAGCCCACCACCAGTTAAGGTGTTCTGTCAGAAGTACAGGTAACGCAGTTGTTAAGTGCAGCAGAGATCTGCAATTAGATTAACGGAGATTGTGAGAAGTCCAAGGTGACCAAAATAGCCACTGGCACTGAATTCCAAGTTTCAATAAATAATTTAAGAACCTGGTAACTTATTGTTTCCCAAATGTGACCAGACTCTTGACTGTTAGTTTCCTGTGTCACAGCGCTTTTCACGCTGCAGGGTTTGGCCTCTCTGTAGTCCTTCACAAGTAAGAAGGATTAAGACTAATTGGCAATAGCACTGAGAGTTCTCTCCTGTAAACAGGTGACCTCCAGTGTGTTTCAGAAAATCAAAACTGTTCTAGAAAAGGAATTATTAATAATGCCTGTCATTTAGGCTTACTAACTGGTGTAAGCAAATAATTAAAAGACAGGAAAATTTGAAAATCAGAGATGTCGCTTATTGTAGCACAAGATGCCTTAGTCTTCCATGCACTAAACTAAAATTTACAGCTGTTTGCTTTTTATTCAAAGTATTCTGAAGGCAAACAAATCATTCTTTTGGAGTAATTGGGATACATAATGTTTTTTGAGGTTTTTTTTACGTTTTACTTCAGTACTTTATAGCTGAAATGATAAGAGAAAAAGCTTAATATAAAGTATCTCTGACAAAACATCTTTCTGAATGTCCTGGTGTCAGCTGGGATAGAGTTAATTTTCTTCCCAGCAGCAGACACAGTGCTGTGGTTTGGATTTAGGATGGGAACAATGCTGATCACACGCTGATGGTTTAGTTGGTGCTGAGCAGTGCTGACACCAGGCAAGGGCTTTTCAGCTTCCCCTGCTCTGCCAGGGGCACAAGGAGCTGGGAGGGGGCACAGCCAGAACAGTTGATCCCAACTGCCCCAAGGGCCATTCCATACCATCCGGCGTCATGGGCAGTATGGAAACTGGGGGGGTTGGCCGGGGAGCAGCGATCGCTGCTGGGAACTGGCTGGGCATCGGTCGGCGGGTGGGGAGCAATTGCATTGGGCAGCACTTGCTTTGGATATTGTTATTATTATTATCATTATATTATCATTATTATTATTATCATCAGCATCATCATTATTTTACCTTATTTCACTTATTAACCTGTTCTTATCTCAGCCCAGGAGTGTTTCTCACTCTGACTCCTCCGATTCTCTCCCCCATCCCCTCGGGGCAGGGGCAGTGAGCGATGGCTGCGTGGTGCTGAGCTGCTGGCTGGTGCTAAACCACAACACTGAATTAATTTTTTTTTATTGTCTGTTTTTGATGGAACATAGTACCAAGGCTTGTATCATGTCTCCTGGACTGCAGTTCACGTGTGAAGTGCCTCATCTTCCCTGAAAGACGAGCATTTTCTCAATAATGAGTCGCATTGCGGGATGAGTTCATGGAGCAATTCATCCTAAGTCCTAAACAGGAAAGGGCAAACCAGTGTGAAGTCTGTATCTGAAGTTTCTAGGGCACTTGGGTTGAGAGTAATCCAGCACTTCAAAAGCAAAACAGATTTTTGAAAGCAAATAAAATGAGTAAAACTAGATTTACAAGTTATAAAATAACCTAATATTTTTTGGTAGCTTAGCTACAATGTGTTAGTAAACTCTGCCTGTCCTATTGAGTAGTCTAGGTGCAAACAGTGCTACGCGCTGTGGTTACCTTTGGCCAGCGCTTTGAAACGGCCTCCAGCTTCACCCTTCCGTGCTGGTGGGACAGTCGTTTGTGCGCTGCCATGTTGTGTTCTCTACATCGCTGTTCCCTGTGATGGATTCTCTTTTCAAAGCCAGGAGCCTGATATATCTGACCATCCAAGCAGCTGATGTCCTGAAGTCAGAACTGATTTAATCAGAGGTCTCATATGTAACATTAGTTAATTGGGAGCCACCTTCTAACTAAAATTTTGGTTGGATTTTTTTGTTTTGTTTTTAGGATGCAGCAAGACAGTTTTTAGATGAAGAAGCTGAGCTGTCCCAGCAAGATGCAGATGATGTTTCATCTGATGAGAGTGGTGATGCAGAGAACGAGCTGAACTCTTCACTTGCTCAATTCCTAAACGATGATGTAGAAGTCACACAAGTGTTAAATGGTGAGTGGGGAGAGTTGTTTATGGTTTTAAGATAAGGGGCGTTTCTTAGCAAATGGTGCATGAGAGGCACAGCCATGTGGTCAGCTAAGAAGCGGTAACCTCCTCAGCTGTAGTAAATCAGGTGCTTTCCATTATCTGTTTGTACCTTTTCTGTCTGTATTGGCATGGGTTTCTTACGTAGTAAGTTCCTGGCTGGAGTCTTTACCGTGCAGTGGCTTTGGGCAGGCCGACGTCAGTTCTCCAAGGATTGCGGGGGGCAGGAGATCGCCTCTCGCTGAGTCAGCCACCCCCTCGTACACCATTGTGGCTGAACAGAAACACACTTTTCCATTTCACTTAGAAGTTTCTGAACCTTTCAGGTCTTCTGTTACAGGGAGACCTAAAATATTGTATGAAATAAGATAAAATTACAGTGCTGACACTGACAGAGCTGAGAAGGTAATGCTGTTTTTTGGCCAGGATGGTTTGCTTACCCCTGTGCTTATGAACCTTGTCTTTCCCTGGGATATTTGAATGATGGAATCATCTTATTACCATTTAAGATTCCTAGACGTTGCTGAGGATTCTCCTCCTCCACTGGAATTGTGAGTTGTTCCCTGTAAGATCCTGTGTGGGCTTCAGGAAACCCATCCCTTTGTCATGCAGTCTCTGAAATCAGTTCTTGTGTCTGTTTTGGGAGAGACTTGCAACACGGAGAACTGAGCGATTTGGGTTTCCTGTGGTTAACATCACCCTTCTCCCTTCTGTGGGCATGCAGAGCTCTGCCTGCTGAGAAAACCTTCTACGTGGCAGCTCTCGTAACAGCGAGCTGGGTAGACCTAATCCTTGGCTTTGGGATCTTCAGAGGTGTCTGGAGAATTTCAAATTTTTGTTTTGTGAAATACAGGTTTTTGGGAGACTATAAAGGAATTACTTAATATGGAAAACATGATGTAACAATAATGAATGAAAAATTATATCCTTAATAATACTGTATTCTCATTTTATCTTCTTGTTTTAATTCAGACTCTGAGATGCAAGGAGTTTACCTGAAATCTGTGCGTAGTCCAGCTCTTGGCAGTAGATACAAAATGGTTCATCGTGAATTCAACAACATGGCAATTTTCTCACAGGTACGAAACGAAATGACTGCTGTCCTTGTCAAATTCCAATTGCGTGTGACCGTATCTAGGTTCTAATCCTACTTTGAAGTGTGGTTTGCAGCCTGTTGTTGATAAATAATTCTAACAAGGCTGCGAGGAGACCTTATTGCGGCCTTTCAGTACTGAAAGGGGCCTACAGGAAGGATGGGGAGAATCTTTTTAGCAAGGCCTGTTGTGACAGGACAAGGGGTGATGCATTTAAACTAAAGGAGGGGAGATTTAGACTGGGTATAAGGAAGAAATGTTTTACAGTGAGGGTGGTGAGGCACTGGCACAGGTTGCCCAGAGAGGTGGTCGATGCCCCGTCCCTGGGAACATCCCAGGCCAGGCTGGACGGGGCTCTGAGCACCCTGGGCTGGTTAAAGCTGTCCCTGGCACTGCAGGGGCTGGGCTGGGTGGGCTCTGAAGGGCCCTGCCCACCCAAAGCATTCTGTGAGTCTGTGATTTTGATTTTGAAGTTAAAGTGTGCAGATGTGTACACTTTGATAGAAGCAGACGCACCCCGTTCTTCAGCCGGAGAGAGGCTGTCAGGCAGCCTGAAGCGAAAGCATCCCGATCCCTGGCCTTTTCACTTACGAGCACTGATCGCTGTTGATCGATGTAGGAGCTTACCTCCCCCTCCCCGCTGTCCTCCGCTGTCGCAGAGGGTGCTGACTGACACCTTCTGAGGAAGAGTCCTCTCGCCCAGCGCGTCATGTTTCCAGTCTCTTAACCAACTTCCCAGTTTGGTGAAACAAGCAACCCCCAAAGAGAGGTGGAGCGGTTTGGGCGTGTTCCTGTCCAGCTGTATGTCAGATTGTCCTGCGCTCTTGGTGCTGGACAAGCAGCAGTGCCAAGAGACTGAATTTTCTCTAGCAATTACCAGGTTAGCTCCCAAAATGTAAGTATGGAAACATATCAAAAAATCAAGTAGCACACTTAACAGCGGTTGTTGCTGCTCCTCAGCGCTCCCCGGCAGGGTGCCTCTCGCGGGCCCGTGTCGCTGCCCCGTC